AAAATCGAAGTCGCTGTTGAAATTTCACTCGTATGTTAGACATTTCTACAAGAGCAACGAACCACGCGAAACAAACATATGTCTCAATAAATTCTCAATAAATATGTGCGCAGTGTGTATCGATGTGTATAGTTCGGTGTCGTTTTCGTAACAAGATAACAAGCGCACAGTGAAAAAGGAATAGCGTTTGTGACGCCCTCGCTGTCTCACAGGCGACAAAATGGAACTAATAATCAATATCTGTCGATAATATTCATATCTCTCTATCTGGATTCGAATCCCGGGTGAGGTAATATTTTTCGCGGCGTTTTTTAATAAATTTTAATTCGATTAATCAATCGCATTATGCGCAAATGCAACTTTGTCTTGCAAAAGCTGCATTTGCGCATAATGCGATTGATTATCAAAGAATTAAAAAAAACTTGCCATTATTTACAGTTTTTAAGATGTTTATTAGCATTAAATTATTAACAACTTTCTAAGAATACTATTAAATTATATATATATATATAATGTATATTTATATTATATATATAAATATATAGTGTTCCAAAATTCGCGCATTCGGAGTACAGAACATACCTTATGCTAAAACATTTTCCTTTAGTAAAATTGCGTCCGATAAATAATTTTTGCGCTTATTTGTTAACTTCAACCTGCTCTCCTGCAAAAACTATTTATCGTACGCAATTTTGCTGAAGGAAAAAAGTTGTTTGTTTTAGCATAAAGTATCATGTCCTGTATCACTCCGAATGAGCGAATTTTGGAACACCCTGTATATCATATATATTTTTTAAATATATACATATACGAATATTTATCCTTTTGCTCCTGCTATTATATATACAAATATATCTTTTTACAATCGCTATATAACTGAAAGAGAATGTTTAAAAATAATTTTTAAGTTCTCAAAATTCTAACGATAAATTATTAAGAATGTTTAGTTTTATAAGGATCGAAATAATTTGCGATACAAAATAAAATAGGTATTAAAATATCATAAATTTTTATTTTTCAACTATTCTTACTCTAACGGAAAGGTATACATCTCACGTAACAATTTTATTTAAAACTGATACAGCATTCCTATTCAATTTACATGGCTAATTTTTACAGTCTGTATCAAGATCTTTTCTCTGAATAGTTTAAACTAAACGATGTATCATATTGGTTATTTATAGAAGTGTATATGGTCGATGAAGTCGATAGAAACGATGTGCACGTATTGTACGTTTAATGTTGAACGCGAAACAAAATTAAATGCCACAACAATTTGACAAATCTTGAAATTGAGTCAGATTGCGTAAATTAATAGAGATACATCTAGGAAGAGAGAAAATCTATACGCGTGAGTGACTGAAACAATATTCAACAATACTTGCATTCCGTCGATTCCAATTACAAATTTTTAATCACACGGAGACATACACAGGAAAAAATTTGGATTTGCGACGACTCGAAAATTCAAATTAACGCGGCTCGGCGAATTTTTGAGTTAACACAAGACCAATGCGGTGAGGGAGAAGCTCGGAATTGGAGATAGGACTCGCATGACTACCGAGCCCAAACAATTCGCACTGAAGCCACTTCAGCGAAGATTGCAGTGCAACACGCTGTTATGCCACGCTAGAGCTGTATCAACTCCAGGATGGATTCAAAACAACGCCTATTACATGTTGATATAATTTAATCACTACTGGAGTTCCACATGCAATGTGGAACTGTGACAACTCCACACTGGATTCGACACAACCGCCTGTAACGTATGGTGGAGGCTCGAGTAGCGCTGGAGTCATCGCAAACCTAAATTTTTTCCCGTATATACACAAAATTGTACGAGATACAACAAATGTTAGATTTGTAGATAGAATAGCGATTTCTTCATTGTGGATGAATTCTATCAGTATTTGGCAGCTTAAATTTCGATCAACAAAATTATCTGCCTTTTATTTGATTTGTACAGCAACTTTCTTATAAATTTTATTAGTATACTCGCTGCACTTTGCAGTGCCACCGAAATCGCCGGTTAGATAGGTACTTTGCTTCCTTAATAGTCCTTAATAGTAATCGTAAGCAATCTGTTCGATGATCTTGGCATGGTTGCTCAGATCTATGTACTTCAGGAATTGTGGAGAACAATGCTGGGGTTTGCCTTATCTTGGCCAGTAATATTGGGTGCAGTTCCATGTACCTAAAATTTATCATTTCGTCACTTATAGAGTAAAATAATAAATTAATATACAGTTAATGTAAAATTTCATGCAAGAATTATAATTCTAAATAGGATCAATAAAAATAAATATAATTAAATCCTATTTTCGATAAAAGCAGGTTCTGGTTGAGGCAATATTTTTCACAATAAAGTTTTTAGCAGTTTTTAAGATTCTTACATCAAATGGTTACTATTCTTACTACATGCTTATTAATATCAAATTGTTAAATTGCATGTTAATTTAATATGTAATATTACTACTCCAATTCTGTTCATGATTACATTTCAAAACCGAAAAAGAGTTCAGTCTGTAGACGTAGTTTACAGAATTGAATATGTAGGTATAAATTCAAACAGAAATATTTAAATCAAAATGAAATTTAAATTGATATTTAAATTCACAAAGCAAGGCTTCACCAAAAGCAAATCAAGGCCAGCAAAATAAAGCTTCAAAGGTTCCGAGTTACGCATGAAGCACGTGATGCATCATTTGTCTTTGTTGTTCATCAAATAATAAAGAAGGATAAAACGATACATCATATGTTTCATGCATAACTCGGAACGCACCCAAAGAGTTTATGATACAAGCTCATAATAGATACACTATGCAAGGTCATGCTAATGATTATAAGTCGAAACTCTAAAGCAAGATAACTATTCAAATAGATCAACTTAACTGAAATAGATTATACTGAATCAAGCATATAAAAATTCAAGGAACACTAACATGATTATAAATGAGCAAAATCTTAAAATTAATTTGCTTCAATATAATAACAAAATTCAGAAAAATTATATAAATATAACATAAAAAATACAATACGTACATATAAATATGAATGATTTCAATTATAAGAAAAATTACGTATAATGAAAAATATACTAAAGAGATCTCAAACTGCAATCATAGAAGACATGCACAGTAGAGGACTATTCTGAATCACATACACAACTGGTAAAATATCCAAGCAAGTCGACAAGTCAGAACAGGGCCTCTATTCTTGAAAAGAAACGTTACAAAATTCTAGAAAAATACTATAGTATACGTAACATATACTGTGGTATTTCTCTAGACTTTTGTATATGTTTCTTTTCAAGAATAGGGGCCCAGATACCTACAATTACAACATAGTAGCAAACAAACTAAACAAGAATCAACGTGCAATAATTAACTTCATATAAAATACAAGAAGAATAAATCAATAAATAATTTAACAATATATCAAGCAAATAAAAAATGAACACAACACATAGAGATCAGAATAGCGAAAATCAATCATATATAAATTAACATATTGTAGCTGTTAATTTGATGTTACTAAACATCAAATCCTAAAACTAAGAATTAAACTGCTTTCCAATTTAATGTGATATTACTATTCCAGCTTCGGTTTAGGAGTGTTTTAGCCTAATTCTATAATGTGCTCTTTGCTTCCTGTTTCTTGCTGTTTGTCTCTTGCCTTTTTGATCCAGAAGGCAAGAGACAAACAGCAAGAAACAAGAAACAAAAAGCACGTTGTAGAATTAGCCTCAAGATCGACAAATAATCGGAGCGTAGTTTACTTGAATTGGAAATTGTACGAATTCACAAGAAACGTACACGAAAAATCTTGGCGCGAGCGAATATAGAATTTCTCATTCATGTACGTTTAATCAACAACTCTGAAAATGCACCAGCGTACTATTTTTTAGTTTCAGTTTCAATCTGCAACACGCATCCTGTTTTCCGCGCACGTCGAATACAACTCAAAATAACGTTAGCATCGGGAAATATCTTGCGTCCAGGAAATCGTTCCGCATACAGATTGGCAGCTTCAACAGCGTCTTCTCCGACTTCACCGTATAAGACGATCATGTCGGTATATTCCCGAGCACTAAAATATTTATCTGCCATTTGATCGAATCGAAATAAACATCTCAAGACACGCTAATCGGATAGTTATAACTAGGTTATAACGAAACAAATGAAGTTAATCCAAGTGCGAACAAATTTTGTCGCTGGGCATGTGGCACCATATTGCCAAACAATCCCCCATTCCGTGATTAGTAACCGCGACGGCGCGTCGCGGCGGCGACCGGCGCCGATTTTAAAAAAATATCTCGTTAATTATTACAAAAATTATAAAATAGTACAAGACTTTTCGACTTAACTTATGCCTAGATTCTAAGCAGAATCGTAAGGTTCGTAACATATTCCTGTAAGATTTGTAAGAATTTTTAAGTGTTTATACCTTTATACAATATTTTTGCAGACAACTTCTTACTAGCCATAAAATTTACAAGAAATCGTAGATATTTACGAATAATCATACGTCTTACGATACATTAGCATAAAATTAGAATACTAATTATAAGTTCTTACAAGTTTTACGAGAACACATTACGAGTCTTACGATTCTGTTTAGAATTGACTCATTAGTTCTACCTGCTTACTGAAAGATGATGCGGTCATTAGCAGACATTCTGTATATATTTTTATTTAAATGCATATCTATGATATAGTACATATATTCTTATGCCATGTACACAGGGTGTCCCGAAATTTTTTACCAAGCGCTCTCGTATAGATAGAGCGAACTAAACTGAGTCGAAAAGTCCTCTACCATTTTGCAATTTTTGCAATAATTAACAAGATATTAATTACTAAAAATTGTTTAGTCGGTTTAGTCCGCTCTATCTACGCAAGAGAGCTTGGCAAAAAATTTTGGAACACCCTGTATATGTAATATGTATGCACATATACATACGTATCTGGAATGAACAAATTTATTTAAATATAGACATTTTTTAATTCTTCGACTAATCGTATTATAAATGCAGCTTTTAATTACGGAACAAAGTCGCATTTGTGCATTTAAATCAATCGATGAATTAGAAAACTTGCGTGTTATCTCCATGGAGATCACAGATGTGTAAAAATGGAGATCGAGCCGAAATTCACGTTTGTGCCGTTGAATGAGAAAACCTACGTCGGAATTAATGATAAAAATACGCAAGAATATCTGTGTAAATGGTGACATTGATATTTTAGTTACTATTATTTTTACAATACATATAATAGTTAATTCTGTAATTGCTGAATAGATGGTTACACATTAAAGGTTACACATAAAAAATCGTGTTTTTAGGGGCTTAAAAGGAAACTTCATTATCCAAAATTTTTCATTCAATGAACAGTTTCAACAATATCATAAATATCATCTAGCTGATGTAAGTTTACTCAATAACGAGGACAATATTTTTTCCAAATTATGCAAGATGTTACAGAATTCATACGATGATCTTACTTAAATGTTTTACTAAATTTGTGATTTAGATTTTCCTTTAATTATAAAATCATTGGCAAAGAATACAGAAAAATGAATATGAATATATAAATACATAAAAATTATACAGTAATCTTTTTATTTTGAGAAAGATTTATATTTCCTGATTTTTTAATTAAAGAAACAAAAATATTAAGCTATTAAAAAAATATTTAAAAAATCTGTAGGCATTTTTTAAAGATAACACCGTTGCAAAAGCATTATTGTCCAAACAAGGCTCTGCCTGGATAAGACAAGGTATCATTACTTTTAGGAAAATTGTAACAGCTACGTAAATAAATTTGTCTGAATTAAAAAAAATTGTTGCTAGATATACAAGCGTCCAGTGTGCAAATAAAGCAAGTACCATGCTCAGTCTTAAGTATGTCATTCTTTAATAAACTTAAGGATCCAGATAACAGAATTGTGTATAATTCCGGAACGATCTGCAAAAGATATGACTTGCAAATAGAAGACTTTTTGATATCTGACAATCTTCGTGGTGTAAGAAATTTTCATCTGTGATCTCTTTTCTTTTCTTTTTTTTTTGCTAAATTCCGTTTTTTTAATTATTTTAAGTTATAATAAACTAAAAAACATTTGTGTATGTTGGAAGTTTCTAAAGATGGTATTTTCAACTTCTCATGATTTTTAGATGCTTTTGGATGAAGAGTCAGAAGAATACAATTTATATTCGGAATATGAAAAAAATGAGTTTGTGTTTCGAATTTTTCAAATGCTTGTTCTTGGCGGAACATTATGTCAGTTTGAGGACCAAATACAGCCATATTTGGACATCACCAAAAAGATATATAAGGATCTTATAAGGTTATTAGCATTTATTAAAATTAAGTGTAACAGAAATTAAAAATATGAAAACTTCATACTGCATTCCTTCTAGAGTGCAGAAGCAGAATACTTTGAACGATTTGTTCGTAAGCACTTTGGTGTTAGAAGTAGTTGCTAAGGATGGCACAGGCCAAGATTATTTCCCATTTAATTCCAGCAACAGGCAAAATATTGCATATTTATTGATAGATGCTAATTCTCGCGAAATCACAACTTTTATACATCAATACGGTGGATACTGTTCTGCCAATTGATCGTCACATTGTATACACTACTTACTTGGTTTTCTTGTAATATCATTCTATAATAATTACTTTTCAAATATTTCTTTAGATATAATCAAAGATTCTAATATGTTCTATATACACAAAATAATTATTCACGTATATACATTCAGGTATAATACAATATTAATTTAAAATACGTTCTTTGCGTTTCATATAAGATAATTTATTCAGTTGCAAAAAGATCTTAATTATATTTGTCTGCACGTTTTTTGTGTAATCTAATTGAATATAATTATCTTATTGTGTAGAAAGAATTATTTAATTATAATATTATTATTGTACGTATTTATGTAATTATTACATACATATGAATTTTACGCACGTCATTCTGTATCTCATGAAAATTATATAAAGACTGTCATTATATAGCATTCAATTTTTTTCAATTACAATATGGAATTGATATTGTTTATATAATTTAGAGACGTGCGAATTATTTGAATACGAACCGAATCGAATCAAATCAAGTATGATTTTATTCGATTCGAATTTGAATCGCTACGATTCGGATACACAAACTATTCGAAAATTTTTAATTTATGGCCGATATTCATAGTCGATTCTTATTTTAAAACCATCTTAAGTAATGTCTTAAGATGTTAATGCAGCTCTCTTGTTGGTTTGTAACATCTTACTGAACTTAAGATAAATATAAAAATCGACTATAAATACCGGCCTGAGATGTTTAAATATAAGAATCAAATACATATATAGTAGGTGTTGACCAATGGAATTATAAATATTCTAGTGAATTTGCTCACTTTTGTAATTTTTATCTTATTTCAAGATATACAATCAACTCCTAGATCTGATTCAGATTCGAATCGGTTCGATTCGATTCGGAATCGAACAATCTTAATTCGCACATCTCTATAATATATTTATCTGTATTCCATCAAAATTAAAGCACTTTACGATTCAAATTTTTCTTCGCGTACATAATATTATCACACATATTCACTAATTATTATTTACTCAGTCACTTTAAATAGACAATTTCTTGCAAAATATTATATATTAACATTCACAAAAATTACACATGTATAATCATATTACAGCCCAGAAATATGTAAATATATAAGTGTATAACACTTGAGATTTATATATAAAGGTTACAGCTTTTTTATTTAGGTATATTAAGCGTAGAGATATATAGAAAGAGTCATGAAAGCATTCGCTCTATAAAATATCTACTTTTAAAGCTTTTTGCTCTCGTGAAAAGGGAATTTCATTTGAATGACGAATATTAGACCGTTATTATTATGACTTAGTTATGACTAGCATACACATTAGCTTGTGCTTTTTTATCATACAGATGCATCATAATTAATAATTCCTAAACGCTGTTTCAGCTCTGTGTATCTTGCTTGCTATATTATGAATCATTTTCTTTACAATACAGATAAAGGTTACACTATAAGTCTCATACCATCGTCATTATTTAAACAATAATTTTAATTGTCAGTAAAAAAATAAAATTGATAATTTAATTTCTAATAAAGACGCATTCAAAAAATTTGGAGTCATGACAGTCTCGCTTTCTGTTCTAATATATTGGCACACATGCATTAATTCCAAACAAATATTTGGAAATAAATATCTTCATTTTAACTAAATTTTTGAATAATTTTAAGATTGAAACTAATTGCTCTGAAGATTATTATTTATAACTTTCATTCATAATCAATTATGTACATGTATATTATTATGTATATATAATATATAATTTCAGCCGAGATATGCAAAGCAATTAATTATCGAAATCTTTCGAACATAAACATGTAAAATATCTTGCATTATTAATTGAAAATATTATTATTTATTGTACTGTAAAAAATATGAAATTCTTAGGAGTGATATGTATCATATGATATCTCTCTAATAATAATAGTTGCATTTGTTGGTAATTTGTTGGTATAATTAATAATTTATCAAGATAAATATAATGCCTGTCTAATATGCAACTTCATATTGCAAAAACAAAGCGATATTAATCACAGCACTTTCGTTTAAAATTAAATAACATTTCTCACGCGACAATCAAGATCTTTTTTGATTGATGTTTTGATGCGCGTTATTCCTGTATGTACAGTGGTCACAGAAAGGTTGCAACATTTTTTTTTTCGATGGCTTTCGGAACTCAGTCTTGCTCGTAGAGCGATTGAATGTAAATGGTTAGATCTATAAGTAAGAGAACCAATCTCTTCGGTGAGCAGACTGCATTCTGAAACTAATCGAAAAAAAGTGTTGCAATCTTTCTGACCCACACTGTACACTGTTTAAAATTATGCTATGTAAACGTCACTTATCCTTTGCAATAACAGTATTTGCGTAAATGAAACAATGAGTTTTCCACACATCTCGCCTGAGATCCATACATATTGATTCTGCTAACATCGGAGATCTGTAACAGGACAGTAATATTGTTCATAAAATAATTGTGCTTCCCTCAGTCAATTCGTTTCCCCGAACCTACCTTAGTGTGAAAAGTATTCTTCGCAAGATCTTGAACAATGCTAACTTCGAACAACGCATCACCTGGTACCGTTTTTACTTTTAGTTGATAAATCTCAGTCGTTACTTTTGTTTTGGCACTGAAATCACCTATAAAACCGTCTTGATCTCCAGATTTTCGGAAATTAAGTAAACCTGAAATGTCATAGACATTAATAATCTTATATAAACAATCTTATATAAATAATGATAAACGATATATTTTGCGTGCCATACCTTTAGTAGGTATAAGCCTAGCAGCCCATAAGATCTCGTCCAAGTGTAGTATCGCGCATATATTATGATGATCTTCAGTGTAACCATTAAGAAATTGAACGAAGTAATTAGCAGCACCCACAACGTTTGTGTCGTCAATTGACACTTCTTTCCATCCGAGACAAGCGCACCAATGAGGTTCTATAAACGCATCTGCGCATGTTCTATCCACAGGTATCTGAAGTATTACATTAATTATTAATTCTCAGTTTTTTCTTAATTTAATCGCAAGAAAAGTTACAAATTTTTTTGTAAATTGTGTCATTACGATAATTAGATAACTTGGCAATTCATTTGCATTTTCTAAAAGAAGCAAAAAATCGCGCTTCATTAATCATAAAACGATATATTTTTCGGTGGACATGTGTTTGTATATTCACTTAATTTACGTTTTATCATGGATACTTGGTCTCTGCCCATCTTTCGTATTTTCAAAAAATCCAAACAGAATATTTGGGCGACCTGTTCCTAGTAATTCATCTATTTCCACAACTCTTTACAAAAATTATTAATCTGTCTATTTCGTATCGCAAGTGACCTTTTTATTTCTAAAATTCGGATAAGTTTGTTTCGATGAGTAATAGGCTACGTTTATACCGTTTTAACCTACATAAACAAGGACATCTATTGTATAGGTCGCGGCCTAAATGCACGGTGTAAACGTAGCCATAGTCAAGATAAGATTACGTCAGCTCTGATAATATCAAATGGTATATCGTGCCTCGTCTTGTTTTCATTTAAAAAATGTTTATTTATATTATGGTATCGTAATGTGGAAATGGAAATTATATTTTTTCATTGGTAATTTTTGAAATTAAAAGTTTAATGGATCTCAATATTCACATGTGAAAAATAATGTTTTATCTTACAATAATTTTTAAGTACTTAAGAGTCTTAGAATTCTATTTTTAGGAGTGTACGTTACGCATTATTACTGATACTAGACAGTATTGTTGCACACACACATATATATATATTCTTGTGTCCACGAGTCATTCTAATTAGTAAGTGAAGTTACAATTACTATTACATAAAAGAGTTGTTCTTTGCGTTGTAAGAATTGTCAGTCAACAAAATGTTAAATGAATGGAAAAAAACTTAAAATTGATAAAGTTCAAGCTCTATTTTTTGTTTATAGTTTTTATAGTTTATTTATATGAATAAGATTCAATTATTATTTTTGATATTTAAAATGCATTATAATGTATTAAAATTATAATTATAAATAAAGTATACATAGTAATTAACATGCATTTTATATGATTAATAAAGAATTAATATAATATAATATTTCGCGTTGAGTTTAGTTATAGATATAAAATACGTACGCGAATATTTATTCGTATTTGCAAATAAGAGTAAAATATCACATTTGACGAGTCCTTTTTTATATTTATAGAGTTGTTAATAGAACTCAACGAAATTAAACCGATTATAATCTTTGATCGTTCGTCCTTGTCTGACTCACTTAATAACATGGAAGATAACCACAAACACGTAGACATTACCCTACAAGCTTTGATAAAAGTGATGACCTTTCTCTGGTTTATCTCTGTTAACATTAACTTACCTTATCAAACAAACTAATGGCTCTTTGATGTCGATCTCCATCTTTTGGCGTAACAAAGTTGAGTATATTTTCTAACGTCTTGTGCACATCGAATGGTGATGTTAAATATTGCGTGTTGTACACGAAGTTTGCATAGGCTTGTGGGTGGACTTGTTTAAACCAAGGTGGAAAAATGAAAGAGAAAAATGGCAATCTTTCCTCTTGCTTGCCTTGTAAAGTATTACGAATATCCGCAAATCTAAAACGAAAATAACGATTAGCTTGCATGTGCATAAAGCGTAGAATCTATACATAATTTACACTTATAGTTTACATTTACACTTTAGCGTTTTTCATTGGCAGAACTAGTGCGTACTCGGTGCACTTTAAAGCCGTTGTACACAAATCGACATAAAGATGTACGTTCAATAAAAATATAGAAACAAATTAAATCGTGAAATATTCAATACATTTTATTCTGCTATTTGATAAAATACACATTGAGTATTTTATCAATTGAGATATCTCATATTTACATTTAGATTAGAATAGTGTACAATAGATTTAATGTGCACTGAGTGCGCATTATAGTTCTGCCAATTAAAAATTATATATATATATATGTATATATTGTATATTTATGAGTTATTCCAACCTGTG